TTATAGCCATATAAATATCTAATCTTTGTTTTAAACCATAAATTTTTGTTTTTCTTCTCATTTTCAATCTTCACTTCTTTTGAATTTATGTAATTGTTCGTATTTTTTTAAAATCTACTTTTTATCCCATTTAGTATAACCAAATCCAATCAAATAGTAGTACAAAAAATTGAAACGGATGAAATACTTTTTTTATTTTTTTGATTTCTTTTCATGTGTTTAGTATTTACATTGATATCTCTTCGTAGCAAAGTGCTTCCTACCAAAAATTATTCCATAGCAAGAGTTTCAATCCGAAACCTCTATTTAAAGAAAGGACAATCTCATCTTACATTAATGTACATATGCTAATTAGTTAACATAAACATTTCAAATATATACATATAAAGTAGCATGAGAAATTTAAATGTTTTGAACTTTGGATCATGCTTATGTTCTTTTTTATCTGATTTGATATGGGGCTCTGACAAGTGAAATATAATTTTTACTAGTTTTTTTTATATTTGATAATACCTATTGATATTTCAAAAAGGTTAAATGCTACTTCTACACGCACGATGATTCTGTCTTTCTCGATAGACATAATACACATATTAGATCCTAAACTTGACTTCAAGTTTTAACTTTGACCTTCAACTTTCACAGTACACAAACAGACACTTTAATATCCAACTTTTAAATAAATAAACACACGAGTCCTACATGACACAATACACGTAGGACAAAAAATGATATGTAGGACATGTGTGTCTATTTGTTCAAATTTATACAAGTTTAAGTGTCAATTTGTGCAAATCCAAAATTGAAGGGCATAAATATGATTTGAAACCAAGTTAAAAGACAGATTTATGTATTATGTCTTCTCGATATGTCTCCTTTCTTTTCCAATAAAAGTGAAGGCCTTAACTAATATTCAGGCCCAAATGCTCACAGTGTAGTATTGGAATTTTGTGTTTGGTTGATTCTATGTGGAGGAATAGATGAATTGTTGAAAATGAATGAATCAAATCAATCACATCAATCCCATCAGCCCTTTGTTTGGTTTGGCTGCTTGCCAATTTTCTCTAGTTGGTACATTTTTGGTTTTTGTATGACAAAAAAATTGAGTCTCTTTTGAAGGGATAATTAAGTAAATAATTTTTTATTGTTTTTAAGATTAAAGTTTTTAGGTAAGATGATCCAAATTCTCACATGTCCCATTCGTCATTCCAACCTTCTTTTTTGATGTCAAAGACCAGAAACTACGCGCAAATTCTCATTGGATTGGGGTTGTTCTTAACAGCGATGGCTATTTATTTAAGTCTTCGGGTAGCACCACTAGATCTTTTACAAGGTGTACAACGACTATAGTTCAACTATTAACTCAAACGCACCTAAAGAGTTAATTCTGAATTCATTTTTATAAGGTTTCTAACTTTCTTTTTCTAATCTAGTATAGAATTTGTTTAAGATGTAATGTACATCCCTTCTTTAAAGGCTTTTCCTTCGTCATGGATGTGACATTAAGAAATTTCCCTTAATTATGACACTATAACAAAAAAATAACTTTTAGCGGCAGCAAATAAACACATTATTAAAGAGTGCTAAAGTCTTTATTGGTTTTAGTTAAGTGTCATTAGATTCGGTGGAACTAAAATCTTTAGAGACATATGCAAAGAGTGTTAATTGCCGCTGATAATACGTATTTGATTGCGATTGAACTATTGTTGTTAATTAATTACACAATTTCAATGGATGATACAAAGATGTGTCTAGATCAAATGTATTTTTGTTGATATACAATGTGGATATACAAAAAAAAAAATGAAGTTGTCTTCTATTTTAAATTACAATTTGTATCCAATCGTCTCTAACTATCTTAAAAATTATTGGCTAAGCTTATTAAGATGTTTCCAACAACGTAATACCTTAATATCACCAAATCGAAATAAATCTCAAATGTGAGGAATCGAAAAAATTGAACCAAACATCAGATGAAAAACCCCTTTTAGCCAATTGATGAAATGTCTCCAAATAACTAGACTATGGATTGCATATTAAGTATTATTTATTGCTTTGTTTAAATGTATAAATAAATAAATTAATATATTTTTTGAAGGAAAATTTTTCAAAATGTCAATATTTTAACATTTAAGAGAACTCATTAGCAACAATTTCAATATTTAGTAA